TTGTTGTTGATGTTGTTGTTGTTATTGTTGTTATTGTTGTTGATGTTGATGATGTTGTTGTTGTAGTTGATGTTGTTGTTATTGTTGTTATTGATGATGATAATGTCGATGTTGTTGATGTTTTGTAGTAGTAGAAGGAGTAGTTGTTGTTGTAGTTGTTGTATTTTCATTGAATAAAGTTTCATAAAGTTTCATTGAATAAAATTCATTTTCCAATTTGGAAAGGTTACATGATTATACGTGCATGTTTGTCTTGATGTTGTTGATGTTTTGTAGTAGTAGGAGGGAGTAGTTGTTGTGTATGTTGTTGTACTACTACTACAACTACTACTACAACTACTACTAGTACTATTATTACTACTACGACTACCACTAACTACTATTATTACTACTACTACTGCTATTACTACTACTACTACTACTACTACTACTATTACTAGTACTATTACTACTACTACTACAACGACGACGACAGCAACTACCGCTGCTGCTACTACAACTACTTGCTAGGTACAACATGCAACCTCTATTGATGATTGTTACCAGGTACCTACTGAGACAAAATATCTGGTGACGCCAATATTATCAAATTGAGAATCATTTCATTGGCCACCTACTATGCTGTATACATACAAACATACATACAAACATACAAACAAACATACAAAAAAACATACATACATACATACATACATACATACATGCATGCATACATACATACATACATACATACATACATACATACATACATACATACATACATACATACATACATACATACATTCATACCTACAAACAAACATACATGCAAACATACATACAAACATACATACAAACACACATGCATACATGCATATATACATTCTTACTTTCTTACACTTAGACTACTATCAAGAAAAAATTTAAAATATTTTAATATTATTATCATAGTACCATTGTTTTCAGAGTTACTTAAGTAACTTTTACTCATGAAGAATTTTATTGTTGTTGTTGTTATATTATTATTATTATCATCATTATTGTTATTTTATAAATAATATAGGAATAACTTTTACCTCAAAAATAGTCTGCAACATTCCTCTCTTTCAGAAAGGGTTTGGCTCGGCTAGTTGGTTTTGACTCAATTCGGAATACAGTGTAACGTTTAAGATGCTGTTATTGTTTTTGTGTCTGATTTCAATTTCAACGATAACCCACACACCTACCAAACCTATCCTACCTATGTAATGCTGTGTGAAATTTGTTGAATCAGTCGACATAAGAATATTTACACGTCTGTGTTTGCTGTTTGCACGCCACTGAAAACCAGTAAAGATGAAATTTGTAAAAAGTGGATGTTTTCTTTCATGTCAAGGTCGGATTTTTTAGCGGCCTGCAGGCCTTAGAACAACAAAAATACGGAGACCCATCCTATTAGTATAAAAATTTCAAAAATTTAATTTCACTGTCGAATTTTTCAGAAATTTAATAAAAAATATCGTCAGAATGAAGTTATTTGTTAATTATATAAAAGCAGTTTTTAAAATTAAACACAAATTATGAAAATGAAATTGAGTTTTCGCGTTAATGAATGAAACAACGTTTTTAAGCTGGTTGAAATGCCATTAAAGTTTTTAGGGAAACATAATTTGGTGATTTAGAGTTGTTCTCTATCTGTATTACGGTGAGTGGAGTCCCATTGTCCCATTTTTTGGGGTTCACTGGCAAAGCCCTGTCTGTCCGCTTTAAAATTCACCCCTGGACGATGTCACCAACTAACGAAAAATTCTTCTTGACATTAACAAACATCACAATAACAACATTAATCGCAGTACGGATTGATGAGGAACATGGAAACTGCAATGACATTAACACCAAAACAGTAACTACATTAGCAATAAATAGCAATAATAATAATAATAATAATAATAATAATAATAATAATAATAATAATAATAATAATAATGACGATATTAAACAAAACGAGACGAAACAAACAGTAATAATAATAATAACAGTAATTTCGAATTAATCATTCGTGGAATGTTTTATTGATATGGTGATTCGAGTAAAACTGGACTAATATATTTTCAAAATGGCTGGCAGTAGTAGTAGTAGTAGTTGCACTATTACTACTAATACTACTACTACTACTTCTACTACTACAACTACTTCTACTACTACTGCAGCCGCTACTACTACTACCACAACTTCTGCTGCTTCTACAGCATAAACAAAATGCAGATAGGTACAATAAAAAAATGAAACAACACACATAAATATAAACACACACACACCACACGCACACACACGCAAACAAACACACCACACACACACACACATACACACGCACGCACACAATCATATATTCCTCAATCGCTTTTTAATAACTGCTGTAATGGGCTCTTTGTAGAGGCTGTGTATTCTATTATTATAAGTGATTTATTCAATAATAATATCATAATATTAATAATTATTTATGGAACTAAGTTTTAAAAAAGTGAATGAATGAATAAATAAATGAATGAATAAATGAATGAACGAATGAATGAAGAAATGAATGGATGAATGAATGAATGAAGGAATGAATGGATAATGAATGAATGAGTGAGTGAACGAGTGAATGAACGAGTGAGTGAGTAAGTGAGTGAGTGAGTGAATGAATGAATGAATGAATGAATAAATGAATAATTGAATGAATGAATGAATGAATGAATGAATGAATGAATGAATGAATGAATAAATATATATATATTTATTTATAGGATGACCATTAGTGCCATCTGTTAAATAAGTTAAATTACTTTTGACGCGCAGACAATAAGCGTAATGATATATATATGAATAAGAAGAAACAATTAATTTATAATTAATAATAATTAATGAGACATCTCTATTGTGTGTGCGTGTGTGTGTTTGTAAATGTGTGCGTGTGTGTGTGCGCGCGCGTGTGTGCGTGTTATTTAAATCATATTTTTGTTGTTTTATTTGGTTGGTCTGTCTAGATGTGTGTATGGGAATATTTTTGTATATTTATATGTTTGTTTGTGTTTATTTATTTGTGTTTATTTGTTTGTTTATGCGTTTGTTTGTGTTTGTTTGTGTTTGTTTGTTTGTATTTTTGTATCTCATTATCAAACTCCTGTGAGCAATAGGCTGACGTTTAATTAATATCGAGTTACCTTGGTGCTATTTATAATCTTTCGTTTGTTGTCATGAAGTGCAGTCCGGATGACCAAGCAGGTCGTCTGCTACCATCTCATTTGCATTTTAAGTGAATGAAAAAAGGAGTGAATGAAGGAATGAGTTGATGAGTGAGTGAAGGAATGAGTGAGTGATTGAGTGAGTGAGTGAAGAAATAAATGAACGAGTATGTGAATAAATGGATTGATTTGATGAGCAAATGAATGCGTATGTGTAAATGAATGAATGATTTAATGAACGAACGAATAAACGAACGAACGAATAAACGAACGAACGAACGAACGAACGAACGAACGAATGAATAAATGAATGGATGTGTAAATGACTGACTGGCTGAATAAAATTGGAACTAATGAATCAGTGACTAAAAGTGAATAATTTTGGGTTCAAAGTCATTTCGCTGTTGCCTGTACTTCTGGTTAATATGTTTCTTCCTTGCTTAATGTTAATTAATTTACGTTATTGATTAGTAGTTGAATCAGTGTTGATACTATTACTAATAGTAGCAATAGTAGTAGTAAGAGTAGTAGAAATAGTAGCGGCAGTAGTAGTAGTAATAGTAGTGAAAGTAGTAGCAGCAGCAGTAGTAGTAGCAGTTGAAGTAGTAGCAGTAGCAATAGTAGTAGTGATACTAGTAGTAGTAGCAGTAGTAGTGATGGGAGTTTTTTTTATCAGAAAAAGCTAAGCTGAAAAATTTAAATTAGAAAGACCGCCAAAAAACGAACGAACGATTGAAAGAATGAGTGTATGTGAATGAACGAGTGAATAAATGAGTGTATGTGAGTGATTGAACGAACGAATGAATGATTGAATGTAAATGCGTGCTCGAGGAAAAGCTCATCCATTTTGAAACAGTGTAATATAATCTTCGAGATAACAACATGGGTGAAAATTTTTTATTTAAAAAAAATAAAGCGCAGCAAAATGAAAATTAAAAACAAAAACAACACACACCTACATAAACAAAAATGACGTCAGAAGGAAAACAAAACAACAACGAGTCGTTTTACAATGTAAACGACAACAACAACAACAAAATATTTTATTATAACAAATATAATTATATTATAACCAACAACAATTATGCTTTAATATATATACCATCAACATCAGCATCATAATTTTATTACTTTTCTATAACTATTACTACTACCATATTTATAATACTAATAAATAATACTGTTTTTACGATAATAATAATAATAGTTGTAGTAGTAGTAAACTCATTACTTCAAAAAAATCAACAAAATCGCGAAAAACAACAATAATTATCATAATAATAAACTTGATATTTATACAAACATTAAGAAGAGAGAGACACGAATAAAAAAAGGAGCATCAGAGGATAATAATAATATTTATAATTTAATAATAATAATAATAGAGCATAATAATAATAAAAATAACAATAATTTGAAAATATGACTACTGACACAACAGTGGTTAGCATCATTAACGTGAAGAAATCAGAAGTCCAGAGGCAGTGCGCCGGTATCATATCCAAAAGAGTGAAACTTTATAGGAATGGTTAGTTGGTTGATTAATTGGTTTGTTAGTTGGTTGGATGGTTGATTGATTGGTTTTTTAGTTGATTGGTTGGTTGATTGATTGGTTTGTTAGTTGGTTGATTGATTGGTTTGTTAGTTGGTTGGTTGGTTGATTGATTGGTTTGTTTGTTGGTTGGTTGGCTTGTTGGTTGGTTGGTATGACATACCAAAAGCTAAATTTTAAAAATTACATAAATATTGATAGTAAGTAATATGATTTAACCCTTAAAAATTTATGAAAAAATCATACAAGCGATTTTTGAAATTTGAAAACATTCATGAATTCACATGATTATTTGCCCACAAACACACACACACACACACACAAACCACACACACACACAGACACACACACACACACAAACACAACACAGGCGACCCATTCTTCCCTGGCCTAGAATACAACGTCAACCGCAAAGTGAACAGAACTTTAAGCAATCTCTTCCAAGAACTAGCCACTTCAACACTATGCGACCAAAATATCCTGCCTTTTGGAATCAGGCACATGTTTGACCTGAATGGCCGCAGAATTACTAACTGTAGTGAAATCGAAGAAGGCGGAGTTTACGTAGTCAGCAGTACCGCCAATTATATCCCTCTCAGCTATACCATGTTCACTAAATGTCCAAAGTGGAAATGTTTCCCTTCTACAATGACCAAAACCAAGTCAGTTGAGTGAACATGGAGTGATTGAGGGCATAACATGGTGACCTCCGTATTTTCTAAACTTATTTTGCTTCTCAGCCACTTGTTTTAATGGCTGATGTAAAATAAAATATAGATGACACACAACAGCTTAAAACAGGGTCGCAATTCTTTTGTTGATTTTGTGTTTGATAGTTTAATGGCTCTATTCGATAGTGGTAATTAATATCTTGCTGGCTATTTTGAATTTTCTAACTTCTTTTTCAAATTGTGAAGTGTTAATTCGCTATATCGTTAATGCATAGGGATATTATGTTATATTAAAATCGTCAAGTTAATAATTGATTAATTAAATCATCGGTGTGTCAATATATTGTTTAATGTGAGGGTTTGAAATGGTACACTGCATTTTGCTGGCTTTGTTGTAGTAGGTTTTTTCTTCAATGTTGATTTCTGTACCTATGTAACTTGATTTTTAAATATTACTAAATATTATTAAATATTTAAATTATTTTTTAATTATATTACGTTCTAGCTACATTAAATTATTGTTTATTCACTAATTGATAACATGATATGAATACATTTGTATATGAAACATGACAGTATTCACAGAATGGATGTTCGTGTGAGCTTATGTTTGTGTATATGTATTTATTTGACATTTCAGTTACATTTACAGTTGAAATTCTTAGTTAATGGTGGCCTATCCACAAGTTTATCTTTTTTGGTTATCCTTCAAATAAATAAAATAAAATAAATTAAAATAATATAATTAATAGTTTTACAGTATTAATAGTTTTAATAAACTTGCTTTACATGCTGTAAGATAACCACGTAAAAAGTTCATCGATTGTTATATATTGCAATGCAAGAACATTGGAGTTGCACTACATAGTGGCTTAATTTTTTTAATTCCAGTTCTGCTTCCTCTTGGCAAGTTGTTAAGAAATACTCCAACAAACTCACCAAAACTCAGTCTGGATTAAATTCGTCTAGTAAATGGAATAAGAGCGATAAACGTCCGAGAATGGGTAATCAGAAACAAATTAACTCTGGCATGCACTCAACTTTCGTGAAGGAAAAAATTTTGGATGATTGTGATGAGCAGCAAAAGGACAACAATAATAACGTGGAAAGAGAAAATGAAAGTAAAGTTGAATCAAAGAAGGGCTACAGAAGTGTTCTCAGTTTTTGGAACTTGAATCTGGGCAATTCACAGAGTTGGGATAAAAGAAATGAAGATACGAAAATCCTGCCAGCAAAAGAAGACCCCCCGAGCTTGACTAAAATGTCATCAACGACTGGTACAGCCACGAGAATCATCACCATTGACGACGAACTTCCAGACGATGATACCCAACAGTTCACCAGTCGTCTTATCTACATCCTCTGCAACGGAGTCTCCAGACCGAGAAAGATTGTTAAGTGGCTCCTTAACAAGCAGTTGGCTCCAAATTTTGACAAAGCCTTACATAATATCAACTCTTGCGTCGTGTTAATTGGCGGCTCGTTGAAATATCTCTACACCTCGGATAAAGTCTTAGTGACAAATCTTGATGATATGAAGAGAAAGTCGAAACAGTTGTTTTTTGCATTTGGGTCGGAGAGAATTCGTCGTGGCGATTTCAAGTTGTCCAAACAAGAGATAAAAAATTTATCTCAAATGGTGCAAGAATCCAAAAAACTGAGTCTGAAAATGACTGTTTCAAGTGTTTCTAAACTGCAAACGGCTAGTGCTCTGCGCAAATGTGTTTCCCGTACGATCGAAGAGACCCCAAAACGACTGCTCCAGTACGTCTCAACTCTACCAGACAACTACCAAATCTCCGATCAAGCCCTATGCGCTGCTCAGAAATCGGTCTTAAAAAACTGCCGAGACGTTTCTGCCAAAACTGACTTGATCGTGAAGGTAATCGACATGGAGGAGTCATCAGCTTCTCAGCGGAACAAGGTACTGCGAGAGATTGTCATGATAGCCTCGGTGAAGCACGTTAATGTCATCGGCATCTTGGCTCACTACTCTGATGTTACGAAGCATTACCTCATCTATAAGAAGGTTGGTCTGTTTGTGTGGCTGGGCTGGCGACGAATTCGAAATTTATACCTTTTTTCATGTTTTCCATGACCAGTATAATGAAAAATTAAATATAATTAAATTCTAAAATAGAGGAATTTACTTAAATTTACAAAATATTCTTAAAATTTTTTTTGAACATTAGATTCCAGATAGTTCTTTGGTGGACACGATCACATCCCCAGACCATCACCACAGCGAGAAGTTTATAACTGACGTGGTACGTTAAAGATCGAATCTTGTGATCATGCCATTCAGTTATTCATTCACAACCCTGTTATCATTTTCGCTTTAAAATTATTTTTAATAATAATCTCTTGAGCATTTATTTTTTTATGACTAGTTTTTCATCAGTCTTTTCACAAATATTTAAAAAAGTTGGTATTTTCCTCATGAAAAAATTTTTTTCATTTAAATCTCGCAAAAACAAAAGGTTCAACAGGTGGCAAAAGGCCTGGAACATTTACATTTCCTGCGAATTATATTCAGGAACGTCACACTCGACAACGTCCTGGTTGATAAATCGGTAACCGGGATGAATACTTACCTACTTTGCGACTTCGGATTGGCCACTAAAATAATGGTACGAATCGATATTCACTTACCGAAGTTCGAGTTACGAGTATATATTGATTGATTACGTTTAATGTTTCACCAACATGTGGTACAGTTATACTTATATGTATACTTATATGTTTTTTTTTAAATATGAATTGACACATTTAAAGCAGTTTCAATTTCAGTTCGTATAAACTATAAATTAATTCAGTAAATATTATGGATATTAAAATAAAATGCATAAACTCATCGTCAATTTGTAGAAAATTAGCATTGAAAAATTCAATTTAAATCCACTTTTTCATTTAAAAAAATGCAATGATTACCCCAAATGACCTCACCCACCCACACTTAAGCCCGGCAGTCGAATATTCTCCGTGTGTGGAAATCCCTACTACATGTGCCCCGAGATGATAAAGGAGGAAGGCTACGATGAAAAAGTTGACTGCTGGGCTCTCGGGGTTCTGCTGTATATTCTGCTTCATGGTTTGTTTGTTTGTGTGTGTGTGTGTGTGTGTGTGTGTGTGTGTGTGTGTGTGTGTGTGTGTGTGTGGTGTTTTTTTTGTGTGTAAGTAAGTAAGTAAATATAAAATCTATAATCTATATGAGTACTTTAATTGCATGAACAATATGTGTAAATGGATGTTAACAATCTTGATGGCTATAAAAAATGATCTTGGACAAACGGTATAGCGTTTATTTTTAGAAATAATAATGACACACGTTACACGGATGAAATATATATGACGATGGTGAGAGTGAGTTTGATGGATGTGAAGCCCTCTTCACATGGCATGGATATTATGGTGGTTAAAATAAAGGGTGAATCAGTTTATAATATAAGGAAATTTTATTTATAATATGATTATAATATAATTTAATTATTTTTCAAATTTTGAAATCACATTCAATTGTTCCTACCTCCGTACTGCATCTCTACCAACTCATTTAAAATCAGGGGATCCACCGTTCACAGCCGACGACAAGAGTTCAGACCACAACGAAATCTTCCAGCACATACTTACACACCCCTATGAAGTGGTATCGACCAACAAGTGGAATCACGTTACTTTCGAAGCCAAGGAATTAGTTGGCTGTCTCCTCCAGCCGGACCCGTTTGTGAGGTTTAGCATTGAGGCCGTACCATTTTGTGAAAATATTAGAGATGTGCCATTTTGTTAAAATGATAGGAATGTACCATTTTGTGGGGATATTAAGAATATTAGAGATGTAATTTTCGTAGAAATAATAGGAGTGTACCACTTATTGTTTTAAAAAAATTAGTTACGGTGAGTGAGACGAATAATTGTAATTTTCATCAACGCTGTTATATGTTATATGTATGTTACATAATACTTTGCTCTAAATATCTGAATAGATACAACAGCAGTCAGATATTGCGCCATCCGTGGATCGAAGCGAGGAGCAGTTTGGCACCCGAGAAGAACCTCATGGTTCATATAGGTACCTACCACCTAATCTATCATTTTTTTATGGTTCATATAGTTACCTACTAATTCATCTATCTTTTTTCGTATGATATCACGTTCAACATTAACACAAGCACTACACAAAACTGTATACAGAGAAACATTCTTATACACTTATTCAACATCAATTACTATGCAAATTTACTTTTGCAATAAAGGCTTTGACATTCAAACTTTTCCTTTTAAAATGAAACAGTTTTTGATTTGAAAGTTATTTAAGCACAAGGCAAATTTAAAATAACGATTTGTACCCATGAGTAAATAAATAAATAAAATACAAATGTTAATGATCACACACACGTACAAACAGACAAACTCACACAAAAAAGCACACTAACGTACACAAACAAATACACTCACACATACACGCACGCACATACACACACACACAGGTCAAAAATTGAGCAGTTTCATATTGAACCAGGAACCAGCAATGAACAGCGTGATGGAGTGCCTGACCACAACCTGCCTGGACAAGGAACCCTACTATTTCATCAGAACACAGAACTGCTAGAAGGCTCGCAGGGATAGTAAAAAAAGGATGAAAAAAATGAAAAAGAGATAGGGCGAGAGAAAGAGAGAGAGAGAAATTCAAAGTTGAAGAAGCAACGTCGTTGAGGAAAAGAAAGAGACCAAGTAGTATTAAGAGAGAGAGGAAGAAAGAGAGAGAGAGAGAAGGAGAGATGGAAAAAGTGAAAGAAAGAAAAAAGGAAGTGGAAATTGGATATGATAAAACGCCGGAAACATTGAATCTGATGCCATAGTTGTCACCTAGTTTATTTCTCTGGTCATTGATAAACTCCAGGTAAATAACCTTAACAAAAATATGAACAAATATTTATCATAAATAAATAAATGTTTATTATTAAGAATTAAATAAATATTAATTATATTAACAACTAATTACTTCAATGATATTTTCACAATTTGAATAATTCAACACAAAAAGATGGAATAACGAATTGATTTATGTGTTCAATTTTTTTTTTGAAAATTTTCGTTTTAATCATTTTTATCATATTTGTCTTGGAAGAGAATGGAGCAGGAGGGTAATTTGGCACGGGTCTCCAAATTTGAGGGCCTCTAAAATAAATGGGTGGTACTTTTTTGGTGCTTTTGATGGTGCTTTTTAGATAAATTCGGGTTGGAAAACCTCCAGGGAGAGAAACCTCCAGGTCAAATTTTACTGTAGATCGAACTGGCCCCTAGCTATATTATCTATAATTATTTTTATCTTTATCATTATTTTTATTGTTTGTATTATAATAATTATTGTTGTTATTATTGTTATTATTATTATTTTTATCATTATTGATTTATTCGGTAAATGGACGAACATCTTCGGTGCCCTATATGGGTTATGAATATTAATGAACCCAATGATAATAATAACAACAGTAACAACGGTGATGATGATGACGACGATGATAAAAGGTTAATAATGGCGGTATTATAAATGATAAAACAGTAATGATGATAATAATAATAATAGCAATGATGTGAGTCCTACATTTTCACGGTCCAAATAGTCTTCATATTATTAACAACATAATGAATATTAATGAGTTAATAATATTAATGCTTTGATTGGTTGACCTGACCTCATTCTTTGATATCCAATCAGAATCTTCCTCTTCGAAGAAATCCACCATGTCCCGGGCTTGCTTCTGCTGGACTGTTCGGAAAATTTTGAATAGATATAAATAAATTATGAATATTTTTTGAATAAATTATGTATATTTTTGAATAAATTAAAGGTTAGGGTTAGGGTTAGGGTTTGGTATTAATGATACTCTTTAGTATTAATTTAATGTTACTCTTTAGTATTAATTTAATGAGCACTAACTGTGTTCTAGTCTTGGTTTCATGAGATAGTAATAACCAATGACAAAACCTAAGAGTGCCGTGCCGAAAAATGTGACCAAAAAGGTGCCAATTACGGTTCCATCTATGAAACTGTTTTCTAATATCATGCTATTTTCGTTGTGTCTTTAAGTTTAGGTCGATGTTGTAGCTGTTGGTTGATACTGGGAAGAGATGGGGCTGTTGTTTCTGCTGTTGTGTTGTTTAGGTTTTTGTTTGTTTGCAGCTGCTAGTTATACAATTCATGGATTGATGTTAGTGTTTTTGTTGTTGTTTGCTGTTGCTTGTTGTTGTTGTTATTATGTTGTTGTTGTTTTGTTTGATTGCTACTTCAGTGTTGTTGTCATTGTTGGAAGAATATATTATTGTTGTTGGTATGCCTAAAATTTAAATGATTGATATTTTGAAATACTCTTAAAATGCCTGCCCGTTACACACCACAAATAATTGACGCGATATTCACAATGACTTTCTTCAGATTACATTTTTTATATCATTTATAACAAATTTAAATTAATCAACTTCAAAACAGTAATCGATTAAACATCTTCATCCTTACATTTTGTATAATAAATTAAACATTAAACAGGAATTAAAAATCAATAAGTAAACTAAACATTAATAGTTTAGAAGGTTTTAAATATCAATAATTAATTTAAACAACGCTCATTTTCAGAGTCGCTCGGTTGTTAAAATATTTATGCTTACATGTAGTGCTAAAAGAGAATAAGTTAGAAAAACAATTGAGTGAGAGAGAAGGAAAATAAAAAAGAAAGAAAGTGAAAAGAGAGAGAGAAAGAAAGAATAGTACACCGAAAAGAGCAAGTAAAAATAGAGGAGGAGAGAGAGAGAAATAGAGTAGTAAATAGAGGAAGAAAGTAGGAATTAGAAAAAGAAATAGACAAACAGATAAAGAGAGACAGAAAGAGAAAGAGAGAGAGAGAGAGAGGAAGAGAGAGAGAGAACAATCAAGTTATTTAAGGAATGATGTTGACGTTTCTTTGTTAAACTGACAAGGGTTTTTTATGTCTTTTTTAGAAACTGATAATCATAAAGAGCGTTAACTCGCAATACCAATTATAACCAATACTAATGTATATAATGTATTACTAATAATACTAATTATCAATGTTATTA